GGTTATGAACAATTTTTTGGCTAATTAATTGTTTTGTAAACAATATTACTGATAAAAATAGCAGTCAGTGACTTATAAAAAACCTTGACAAGACAAACATTTTAAAAATTGAAAAATTATACAAATTTATTTGCTAATTATGACACTCAACACTCAACAAAGCTGTGGGATGTCAATTAGATAGAGAACCAGCTTATTGAAGACAAAAGAATATAAAATTTATTTTATGAAATATTTTAATAGCATAAATAATGCTAACAATTAACAATTGAAGGGGTAAGAAGCAAAAGGGTACAAGTGCATTTTAGCATGAAAATTAGTTAAGTGCAGAATTGGGTAATTTCAGAGTCCAATTTTTTTTTCGTAATGTTAAAATTTTACGAGTACCCAGAATTTTGTATAGAAAAAACTTTAGTTAATAAACTAATAATATTTTAATTAACAATTTTTATTACTAATTTAAAACATAATGTTTAAAGTGTCCTCCATTTACATTCAAGCATTTCTTAATTCTTACTTCTACATTTCTTTTTAAATAATATATTGTTGGTTTATTAAATTGTTACAATTGGCTAGTTTTTAAAAAACACCCGCCTTCCGCTATCCGTAAGTTTGAATTCCAATAACTTTGTTAAAAATTATTGGATCTTATTGATTTAAAAACCAAGTGTAAGCCTAACAAGCCCTTAGTAAGCTCTTTCAGAAAATGTTTGTTTAGTTATTTTAGAATATTTTTTTTTAATTTTGAAACTTGTGAAACACACATTTTTGCATGTCCCATTAGCGTTTTATAAAACATACATAGGTACATGTTTTTTTTTAAATATTGAATAACCAAAACTTTGGGTTGCTTTATAGCAATCCATAACATCCTTAGTTAATAAAGCAAACAATTTATATATAAATTAATTAATTTTAATCTACTTTTTTTAAATTTGACTTATGTCCGAGACATTTTTTCCGTTGCGTTACGTCCGTTGCGTTACCGATAGAATATTTAAAAAAACATATATATGGCAACTTTTTTGGCACTCACGTGATTAACAAATAATGTTCGGACGTACACATTACCCAGCTGAATTTATTTATTCAACCAGGAAGAAGATATCGGTTGAAACAGGTGCGGGTAACGCGAATGTAATAATTGTTAGTTACTCAAAAAAATAATAAAAGTAAGAAAAAATACTATTTTTCATGTTTATGTTTATTTTAGGGCACTAAAGCTCATTGAAAGTAATTAATGACTGTAATGTTTTATTATTATTTCTAAAATATGGTTTTATAAAACTTTGTTCACTGCGTTACCTTATGGTAACGCAATGGAATTTAGGGTAACGCAATAGAATTTTTCGACAACAAAGTGGTTATTTGCCGTCGCTTTTATTAAAAGTAGTTTATGATAAACCAATTTAAAATTATTTGTTATTACAACTCATGATATAGATTACATCCAAGGGAAAATTCCACGCAATATACAAAAAGACACCAGCTTATAGTCAAAGAAAAAGGGTGTCTATAATTTAGAAATCTAAGTTGTTATTCTGCAAGTGAGCACCACCAAAGATAATACACCCCATAGATTGGAAACTACACTAGCGCTAGCGGCAAAAGGCAAAAGTAAATTAACGCCATCTAGGTCTACAATACCCTTAGCAATGCCAAAAATTGAAGTAGATTTCTGTAACATATTGGCGCCATATTTGAATATTGATGCTTCGTAGGGTGCCTTTATATATTGTATTTACTGCTGTATTTTAAATAAAACAAGTATGGATATAAGATTTATTTATTGTATTAACAATATAATATAAAATAAAATACATACATCTATATATACATAATCTGAATACATGAATATGTTTTTGTTTGTGGAGTGCAAACCTAAAAAATATTAATCTTAATTCTTCAATAATAAGAGAATATTGCAAAATTTGGTAATTTAGCTCCTTATACGAGTTTAAACTTAACATATAGGAATTTGTACAAGGCTTTTGAGTGTGGACTTTTGGTTCTAACCAACCGTGAAAAATCTATCTTGCCAACTATTGGTTTTGAAACAACCATAAGTAGCCTGGGCTTGGCCTGGACTAAATTACCATTAAACAAGCAATCCTAAATAATTCATAATTAACAAACAGTATTTTTACGCTAGAGCGATACTGCCGTGCTACGCCAAAAAGACGCAACTCTACATTTTTACTTTATAAATTATAGCGCTTTATTGTTTTTTTCCAAGATACGATCAATTTAATAAGAAATTTTTAGGAGCTATAGTAGGTACTTAAAAATGTATGTATAGTTAAAATTTGTCTTTTTCTAAGAGAATAATTTAATAATAACGAGATGAGTCTTTTTGGCTTAGGACGGCAGGATAGTCAATACTTACAAATTGGTTACATTTCCGCGCCCAACAACAATACATTTCACAACCATTAACACGTTTTATCACTTTTAAGGCGCAAAAATGTATTTAATTCAAAAATTATGATCGACATCAATAATTATGATTGACATTGACATTTGCAAATAGCGTTTGTACAGATGTCTGCAATTTAAAAATAGATATAGTTCAGGTATTGTAGAACTAGAGGGCAGTGATGGGAGAGTTTCCAATCTATGGGGTGTATTATCTTTGAGCACCACTACAAGGGATTTTGTTTATGCATTACTCTAAAATCGTACCACCCTATATAGTTTCTTTTTTACGTTATCTGATTAAGTCCTTTGTGTACCCCAGTCCGTTGTGATAACAATGTATATTTCGTTACTTTTTTTAGTTTTTGTTAAAAAAAATCCTTAAAATGATTTTACTATCACTAATACCTGTTTACAAATTAGAGTTTAACTCACTAATACAGTGACTAAAAGAAAATATTAATGGTATTGTTTTTTTAACAAAGAATCGGAATGGTGTCTTTCAAAAAGTAACTTAACTAACATAAATATTTAAAAAAGGCATACAATTTTTAATAAAAAATAAAATTGGAGTTAAAAGTTTGTGAACTAAGTACATTTTATTTCAAATTATTTATATAACAACTTTTTTTATTAAATTAAATTTTGGATTTGAAATTGGTAACACAGTGGAGACATATAAAGCTAGCTAAACACATTTTTCTGAAAAAAACGTAAAAAAAATTAAAAAGTGCACTGCCTGTCTTAAATGTAAGTAAACAAAACTCTAAACATTTATAAAAATCCAACCAAAAGTCAATTTAATCAAATAAAAATTTTGATCTTCATTTTCCACATACATAATGTGTTTTCATTAAATAAGAAATAATTTTATATCCATTGCTAAGTATTTGAATAATATAATTTTTAATTATACCTATGTAAATTATTTGGAACCACGCCATTTTGCGAAATTTGTTTATTATAAATAAATATATTCTTTGCTTTATAATTTAAAAATCGATTTGTTGAGTTACTATAATCTGCCGCCAAAAAACATGTTATATATATAAGGGTGTTTCAAAAAAATCGACTTTTTCTTTTTCTTCAAATGGTCGGCAAATTCTTTCAGAGGATGTCAACACAAAGACCTCGTCAAAATTTGAGCTTTTAATTTGAAGATTTAGAGGTCTCGGATCGCAATTTTATATTTCTCTTTTAAATAACATGGGAATTTTTTTTTTAACTTTGAAATTTTATACGTCTGAATCGAATCAACGTATGTTATGATCATCTTAGATTTTCATAGTAAATTTAACGCTCTACAAAAAAGGTCTCCTATCATTTTTCTATAAATTGATTCCTTCCAGAGTTATTCGAGGCCAAAGTTTGATTTCCATCGAATTTTCGCGTTTTTTTTAACATTTATGGTACAATTATCATTATACGGGTGTCCCGAAATTAGGGGGCCAAACTTAAACAGTGCATTATTCGTATAAAAATAACACTTTTTTTGTTTAATAAACATGTATCAAAAAATACTCCCTAAAGGAGCTACGGCCCCCTGAATAGGAGCCTAAGAGGATAATTTTTTTAAAATTATTCCTAGAGGGTTGAACATGAACAAATGAATTTTCGGTACTTTGGTAATTTTGACATGCTGAATCTAGATCTATGATCAAAACTGTTCAAATTTAATCATAGGCGTAACATTTGGAGGGGGCAAAGTTACAAAAATAGCCCCAACTTTTTTCTGGGTTAATAATTTTTTTTTTTATTAAATTATGAGAATATATAGTTTTTTACGAAAAATAGGTACTCTTGATTTGAATTGCTCAGATGCACCATTTTCGAGAAAAATGCATTTATATCTATATAAAATACTCTGCATATTATACACATCTCATATTTTCATTAAAACTTTGTAGTAGGCTTTGGAAAAAAGTGACGTTTTTTTATTTTTTTGTTTTTTTTACAACACTTATGTTTCAGATATAAATATGTGATTTTTTACTACATGACGCTAAAAGTTGAAATGGTTTTGTTGGATGTTGGATGGAAATCATACTTTGGCCTCGAATAACTCTGGAAGAAATCAATTTATAGAAAAAATTATAAGAGACATTTTTTATAGAGCGTTAAATTTACTATAAAAATCTAAGATGTTCCTTGACATAAGTTGATTCGATATAGAGGTATAAAATTCCAAAGTTAAAAAAAAAAATTTCCTATGTTAATTAAATGGGAAATAGAAAATTGCGATCCGCGACCTCTAAATCTTCAAATTAAAAGCTCAAATTTTAACGAGGTCTTTGTGTTGACATCCTCTGAAAGAATTTGCCGACCATTTGAATAAAAAGAAAAAGTCGATTTTTTTGAAACACCCTAATATATATTCTGAATTTTCTTGTACTTTTTTACTTTATTATCAATAAACGACTACAATACACACGTAGATACACCTACTTCTGAGGGGCGCAAAAATGTAAAAATCACCCCGTTACTCAAAGTTGCCGTCCGTCTCGGCGGGCCACCCCACTCCCCAGCCCGCCACCGCCGGCAAAAGTAGGGGAACCCCGTTGAGCAAGCGCGAGCCGCCAGTACACGCGCGACACCATCGAGAGACCGTACGGCCGTATGACGTCTCATAACCAAAACAAAACACGCGTCAAGGTAACTCGTGCACGCCACCCCGATAACTTCGAATTCATATCGAAGCGAACCCCACGCTCACTTTCAGGTACTTTTTTAGACGTTCAGAACGCCGAATTGCTTAATTTTGCGGAAGTTCCAAATGTTCCCGTAGATATTTTACCGAGTTTAGTGTAGTGCGAATTAATATTTTATATGTTTGGATTATTCAGCTACATTTAAGGTAAGATATTTTATGGGGAGGTTTAAAATGAAACTCATAAATAACGGGGTTGACATGCGAATAATGCTTTAAAATTATAATGTTCAAATAAAATCGCAATGCCAAAAATATTGTAGATTTCATAACAAAATCCTATGGCAATAATTCTTGTAATTTTCAAAAAGGACCGTAGACCCAGTGACAAAAGTATTTGTTGGAAATGGGAACTTAAAAGACAAGAATTTTGATAAGAAATGTTGCTTTATTAATCAATTTCCTAAACAATAAAAAACGACAATTTTGTAAATGTTACAGAATACATATAAATATCTTTTATTATATTAAAAGAAAAATATGCTTTTTATTGACCTTCGAAATTCATGTACCTACATAGGTAACCCACCTGTTATTCTATATGTACACATTATACACAGAACAAATAACTACTTAAATGTAAGAAATATAAATCATATAAGCTCAATTAAATATCAGAGTTTAATTAATAGCAACTTGTTGGGAATTTTTTGCGAATTTCTTACCAACACGATTGCAGCATGTAGGATATTTTTCATTGTCATGTTCACATATCGATGTGATTATAATCGATTTATTGCAATCCAATTAAGAATTGTAGTCATCCATTTCTTATTGAAATTAATGTTTATTTTAAAATTGATACATCGTTTCAGACAACTTTCCCAGGATTGTTTAAATTTATAAAATGTAATGTAATATTTTTTTTTGAGCGTAGATATTTTCATAACACATAAGGGTGATTCTACAAAAGTTGGGCAACTTTTGTTTATATAGTTTTCGGAGAAAATTAAACAGTATTTTGTTATGAGAACATAGATAATATAATAAATATACTGTTCCAGACCGGGCCAGTCACTTTTTCAAACAGTTTCTGAAATATCTGTGTTTTCTAAATTTGAATGCAAGGGAAGTGACGAGTATACCAGGGTACTAATTAAATACACAATTTATTGGAAAATATATATATATCTTATAAGATTTATTGCAACTTTGAGCATATTATACATTAAATATCTTAAAATCAAATAATACCACACATCAGTGGCGGCTGGTGGATTTTGGGTATACCGATATCTCAATTATTAGATATGGGACCCACACCAAATTTATATGAGTTTATAATGACATTAAATAAACAAGTTCTGCGCAAGCAGAATTTAAATTGAAGTTTGCGAAAAAAAGATAACCGAAACATCGAACATGGAACTGACGATACGGTACTGATGAATGGGATACAAATTTAAGTTTATAATTCGGAATTAAGTATTTTAATGATATTTTTATTAGTGGATGCTACTTATCAACAAATCACATATAGCCTTAAATAAATTACAATGAAATATATATACGTAAGAAAATAACTACTACCACAGTACTGAAATTTTGACTGGAACTATACGTGCATTCACCACAACTTCGCCGCTTGCATTGTTTTCAAGATGACTGTCGTGCAAAGGGCGGGCTCTGTAGCTAATTTTTTACCAACACTTGAGTTTAAACGAGGACTTGACGTTTAAACTTAAATATATCGCAGGAATTTTGAATTTTAACATTGGACACAGAACTGACGGGTAAAAGTGAGTACAAAGATTATAATTTTTTTAAAAATTGCTATTATTCGAATCTATGATAAAATATGAAAAATACATTATTTAATGTTTTATAGTTTGAAGTGAAATTGAATATATTTTAATATATTAATACCTACTGGTTCAAAAGTAAAAAATGACGCTAAGATGTCATCATGTTAAATAAAACCTAACCTAAAAATGATGTACCATTAAATATATTATATTTATAATATAGGAACTGCACATCATTTTTAAATAAATAAGTAGTATAAATAAACTATAGTTTATTCAGAAAAGAGAGAAACGCACAGCTAAATCGCGCACGTTATTTGTGTTTCGCGTTGCAAGTAAAAACTGAAAAACTTTGGTTTGATACTCTATTTTAATTAATTATGCCTTATATCTTTGATTAAGAAAGTCAACGCGTTACGTTAGTTTGTGTATTTTATCTAAGTGATCATTTTGAATTATTGTGTTTTTAATTGTAAAAATTATTCAAGAAATTAATTGTTGCATTTTCATGTTTTGCCAAAGGCTAATTCGGTAATAATAATATATTATAATACATAATATAATACCCGTTATTGTTTTTTTTGCCGTTGAGTGAAGACTTTCTCAACGCTGTTTGAATTTATAGGACTTATTTGTTTTATGATTTTTACCGAATTGAAATGTTTGTATCTAATATTTACAGGGACCGTATGCAATTTATTTCTTTATTCGAATTTACACTATTTATTGGGAAACCGGTAAAAACTCAACCCAGGATTTCCTCTCAAAAAACATGCATATGTTAATAACATTTTCTTGTTAAAATTTTTAAACCTAACTACTTAATATACAGAAGGGTTCAAGTTAGATTGCCCATAACTAATTTTATTAAAAATTGTAGGAGAAAATTTTTTATTTTTATCATATACAACATGTTTTTTGTTATTTTACATTTTAATTTATACAGGGTGTTTGGTTTCACTGGGACTATACAAACTTTCTTATTTTTATAATGAAACTAAGTGCATTTTTGCATTTGTATGGGTTCTACAGACTAGGTATTAAGTAAATAGAAAGTTGGGCATTTTACAAAAGTGTGACTAATATATAATTATTTCCAAAATATATTTTAACAATCAGCAATTATTCATAATTTTTTGTTCTAATTAGGTAGGTCGGTACATATATGGGCATCCCAACAAAATTATAAGCAATGATTCGGTATTTAATTTTTTCTTTGTATTGATCATAGATTTGTACACCTAAAATTTTACTTCCTTCGTATTTTTATGCTTTTTATTTTATTATTATATTGATTTATTAGAATTAATAGCTTTTGATTCTGTTTAAAATATTTGTTTTTTAAATTCTTATTACCAATTCAAAAACATCCAGGATTAAAATTAAAATTATTCAAAAATTTAACAGTTGTAATCGCTGACAAGTCATAAAAAATTAAACAGCTTGATTTTTTATTAATTGGTTAATTAGCATTATTGAGAAGCTCACTATATTTCGAATCGAATATTTGTCCATTAATATTTAAATAAGACAGTTTAGCTACAATCAATAGAGAAGACCTATCAAAATATTTGTTTTCTGTTGACAAAACACACCAATTTATAAAGCTGATATGCCGTTGTGAAAGATCGTATAAACTAAACACAGTCTCTATAGATGGAAAACCCATTGAAATTTCTGGAGTATGTTAACAGACACTTCTCTTTATTTTTATCCTCTTTTATCTAGTGGCCGAGTTGAATGCCGGGCAAGGCACGCCGAGATATTGGCCTAAGCGAGGATTCCCGTTTTCTGATATACTAATTTGATTTTGCGCGTAATCAATCACTTTCAATTTTTCTCTCCCATTTAACATCAATCGGATTAAAAAGTAATATAAATCTCTCTCCGCTGCTTCTTTCTGAAAGATTTAACATCTTGATTTTGGCACTGAATATCAAAAGGAAATCCATTTTCCTACGTTTAAATGTTATTTAAGAAAATCGCCGCTTTCATATTTAATGGCAGTATGAATTATTAGGAAATTTGTCACTTTGAAGGCGCCATATTGGATTTACTGAACTTTTATTTTTCTCAAAATTTTGTTTCCAGAGGTAGTACATTAATTTATTAAATTATAGAATAAATTGTTTTTTTAAGACCATAAATTGTACGAAATATTTATTAAGGAGATTTTGAAAATATAATGTTAAATTATAATATTATGAGTAATATTTTGTATCTATTTTGCGTTCATAATGACTTTATTATAACACCGCTTTCGGTGCTGTAATAAGATACTTTATCCCATCAAAAATTTTAATTTTATAGGTTCGATATACTTTAAACTTTTGCATATTGGTTAAAATATTTTTATGATTTTTCTAGTACGTACGAGACTTTTCTGGCAATACATTTTGTTTAGCACCAAAGAAAATCCTTTTTTTCTTCTTTAACATTAACAGCCGCTTATTGTAAATAAGTAAATTTATCCAAAGTAAAATTCAACCAAATTAAATTTAAGGTATAAAATTAATTTTTTTTATAGAATTTTTGCAAAATAGATAAAATAGCATAAAGAACTCATGTCGCAAACCTTTTGTCCGCGTGCGACAAAATGACATCTTATAACATTAGTTCTTTAATAAACTATTAAAGTGTAAATCTTGATAAACTGTATTTTTAAAGCAAATAATCATATTTTTACAAAACACAAGGGGTACTATGTCAGTTTTGAGAGTAATTTTTTAAGAATTAATTCGCGAATTAAAAAAAATCTATGCACGGCTGGATTCACCACCCCTCAAAACGATCCTATACTAAATTTTATTGAACAATTTTAAGTAGAAACGATTTTGTAGCTAAAATAAAAATGGACAATAAATACTATAAAAAGTTTTCCATGAAAAAACAATGAAAAAAAAAATATAATTAAAAATCCGGTTAAAATCTCACAATAAATAAAGATTTTACAGGGGTTATTCGTAAAACATGGGTCACACTGTACTATACGTAAAATAAAATTTTTGTATTTTGGCAATAAAATATGATTTTTTTGTAAATAATTGTTAAAATGTATGTGTATAATGTATACATTATAAACATACAAAATACAAAAATGTTATATTACGTATAACTATATAGTTAAAAATTAATTAAATTAACAAATTTTGTTTTATCCTGAATACTTTTTACCTCCATGGACTTTTTTGTTAAAATATATATATGAGTTAAATAAAAATATTTTTTCTAAGTACTCCCACCTTTAAAACGCCCTTTATCGTACATGTTTCCATGACACTAAGTGACCTATAAAATAAAGTGTCTTTCTTGTAAAATAATACTAAATGTAAAAATTATTTTATTATCTCAATACAAAAATACAAAAATATTAAATAGTTTCTCAACGCCAATATTTGAAAA